TCTATTTGAGATCCTGTTCTCTTGGGGTTAGAAAGCGACTCCAAAGATAACATACAAAGCCCCACCGCATATTCATAATCCTGACACAAATCCAAACCATGGTGAGGAATTAAAATGAAATTCATTGGAAAAATGGAAGTTGATATATCGGAGGAAAAGTCATCCATAATGGGAGGGAGAGACCTGGAAACCAGTATAATGCTGAAAGACGGAGGTGATCACGGACAGCACATTAGATTGAAGCTCGCAATGTGCTATGTAAGCAAAAAACCCCACTGCAAATAGGGGTGCCTAATCGGATGCATCTTGTCACAGAACGGCAGCACCTCTCTTTTACGTCTCTGGGTAAGAGAGAGCCTGGAATAACTGCACTCCTTCTGAGAGAGCTCTGCCAATTGGAGAGACTTCAGAGGAATGGAAAATAATTAGGAATCTGGACCTACTATGCTTAGACTCTCAGAAAGTAGGATGGAAGGGTGGGGTGCCATGTAAGAGCCTGCCTAGCTTGACAGATAGTACATAGAAAACATGTCTGATCTCTATGCTGATTACAGCAAATGCAGGACAGAGCTTTTCTTGCACCTCATTTCTTCTATAGGATCAGCCATAAGCCAAATGATCTCTGAGTTCCGCCTCCTCTTGGTCCGAGGACAAATTGTCCAGGATTTTCCAAAGTCAACTCAATCTCCTTCTTTGGAGCATCCTTCATGTTGCCAGTCAGCTTCCCATTATGGCTCGAAACACTCCCAGCCCTGCTCTTGTGTTGGGGAGAAAGACCGCAAGAGCTGTCTCCCTGCATCCCTTTAAAAAAATGGGAAAAATGGGCCTTTTCAGCACAGTGCCGTTATCCAAACTGTGGCAGCCGGGGCATGGCGGCCAGGCCTAGGGTTAGCCTGGAGCCAGAGCCTCAGTCAGAAGCCAGGAAAGAGAGGAGGGGCTGCAGGGCAGGAAAAAAGCCAGAGCGAGGTTGGGGCAAGTCTGCAGCAAGTTCTGTCATAGCAGCTGGCTGGGCATCTGCCTAGTTGCACAGACAACTCCTGGTGTCCCCTGCAGGATTAAGCAGTGTGACTGGAACAATCCAACACCCTGCGAGCAGGCCTGTCGGGACCCCTGTGGGTGCACGTCCTTTGTGGCTTGGGCCCACGAGGCTCACAGCTTGCCAGCCGCTGTCAACCACAGCTGTTGGGATGTGGCGGTTGCCCAGGGAGCAGAGGAACAGAGTTTTAGATCTGCGGATCCTCACACAGATCCCTGTATCGGGGGCTACAATCTCTGTACTGGAAGGGAAAGTATTTGAGGTCACAATGAGATATCTAGTGGCTGCAGGTGAGGGCCGAGAGGACACAGTGAAACAAGGGGCAAAGCTAGGCCAATACGGCCCTACAGCCTCCTACCTCCAGTTAGATCAGGGGTGGGAAACCTCAGGCCAGGGGTCAGATGCAGCCCCCAGCTTGTCTGGATCTGGCCCCCGAGGCTCAGGGGGGCCCCCCTGCATTGGGGGAGACCGTGCTGGTGATCCAGCCCCCCTAATGCCACACTGCAGGGCGGGAGCACACAAAAATCTACTAGGCTCAGGTGTGGGAGGGAATTGTGGGGAGTGGCTTTCTTCTCAATTGGGGGCCATGTCAGTGAGGGATTAGGGAGGTTTTTTTGTTTTGCTTCTCACTTCTGTGCGGCCCCCGCCTGATTTTTCTGAGAGTCAGTGGCCCCCGACCCAAAAAAGGTTCCCCAGCCTTGAGAGTTCCATTGTTAGGTTACCTCCTCTAACGGTATAAGTGACCCTCTTCATAATCATGCACAACGTGAGGGTAGCTCCAAGCCTCTACTCCACCTCTGACCTACAACCCGCCCCCCCCCACTGGCTGTGGTCATGCTGGAGTGCTCTCGGTAGAGCTGCTGTCATTTCCCTGGACGTGACAACTTGGCACAGAGCCTCAAGGAAGGGGTCTGGTTTTGTGGCAGAGAGGTCATTGGCAAAGATGACATTGGCCACAAGGTTTGAAGCGGCACACCTCCTTTTCAAAAGCACTCCTAGCTGGAGCATATCAAAATCCAAACCTCTCGGTGCAGTTAATTGTGATACCCGGTAAACAATAAGCTCTAGGCTGAGATTCTGCATAGGGACCACAGCAGTGTGTCCAATCATATCTGCGTGTGCGTGCATGCACACACGCACACCCCCGCAATAGAAGCTAGCTAACAGCCAACAGAAGGCTTTTGCGGATCAGAAAATTCTTCTTACTTCTTTTGTTTCTCCTCCCGCAAACTGTAGGGAGGGGGTTCTTTGTAGCACAGAGCCTGGGAAAGCGCCCCCCCGCCACTCTGGGAGGTAGGCAATACAGCGGTAATGGAGATGCATCCGCTGGCATTGGAGGAAGGTGCTAAGAGAGGAAATGTACAAATGGTCAATTTGACAATCGCAGGGTTTTCATGGTCAGAAGAACAAAGATGAATGGAGCCGCGCTCCCCTTGCCCAGGCGTGCACACGCACAGAGAGTGTTGTTCATCCTGTCACAATTTAAACCCCCTCCTCCCTGCCCCGGTGATTTACAAACAGTACACAGCAACCGACCCATAGCCCCCGTGCTGGGAGCACGAGACCGGGATAGCTGCTACAGTGAGGAGTTAATGAAAATGGAACACATACTGCTGATTGTAAGGACCACCGATTCCAGTACCTCACACTTGGAGAGCGCCTGCATGCTACTTGCTCTTCGGAGTGTAGGCCACAGCAAATGCAATTACTTTGATAATTACATTTTAAGGGTAGAGATTTCAAAAAGAGGACACCTTTGTTCAGAAAAGCAAGGCCACTGTACGCTGCTCTCTGCTGCGCCCCTCTGGCCAGAGCAAGGTTAGCTGAAGTGAGGAGGGACACAAGGCTTGGGAGGAAGAAGCAGGATTGACTGACTGAGAACAGACATGGAGCACTCCCAACGCACAATGTGGGAACAGACAGAGCAGCACTTTAAAGTGTTGAAGGCTTACCTACACGGAGGGACCATTTCCACATCCAATCTCTCTCACACCTCACACCAACACACAGACTACGTCAACGTTTCTCTCTTGACCACAAACACTCGGAGACACTGTCCACACAAAAAAATGTACCATTTGAATGACGCTAAGACAGCTGACACAATACAGGCTGTCTGGTGGAAACACATTTATACCTGTATACGAGTACTTCTCCAGGCATAGCTTGTTCCTTATTAAATCTCTCTCACACCTCACACCAACACACAGACTACGTCAACGTTTCTCTCTTGACCACAAACACTCGGAGACACTGTCCACACAAAAAAATGTACCATTTGAATGACGCTAAGACAGCTGACACAATACAGGCTGTCTGGTGGAAACACATTTATACCTGTATACGAGTACTTCTCCAGGCATAGCTTGTTCCTTATTAGCTGTGTGTACACCAGGCCAGGAAAAAAAATGCAAAGGGAAAATTGGGACAGTCACGTTAAAGCTGTAGGTAACAGCCCAAGAGTAGGGTCAAGCTTTGCGAACCAGGAAACATGGATTTTAGTGACTTTGTTTCTCACTTGACGGTTCAGCGCATCGGATTCCTTTTTTACTGATACCGGCAAAGTAACCGAAAGAAAGAAGCTTGGAAGCTTTTCGCAATGAAATGTGACTGGCCTAAGAAAATAGCCCCACTGCCTCAGAAGTTTCTTAAAACAATGGGACAAGGGTGCACAAAGGCATGCAATGAGGCGGCAGAAAATAGGGCTGCTGATTTTCTAGATATATGCTGCACAATTAAAAGTGCCGGATCTATAAACATCCTCAAAGGAACCCACCCAGCCAATAGGTCTAAGAGTTTTATGTTTCCCCCCACTGCCCATTGTGTGCCATCTCCTGCTAGAAGCTTGTAAAACGAACCTTCTTTCTCTGTGGATTTGATCCCATTGCATTTAACCAGCGCGTTTCCTTTTTCTGCCTGTGGAGCTGTCATTACTGACTCTTTGTATTTATGCTTCCTGGGCTGAGCTGTTTAGTGGATAGCTTTGTGCATAGGCCTTTAAACTGCAGCTAACGAGATAGAAGGGGAGTAGGGCAGTTATATGTTGTTCCTCTTGGAAAAACTGTCCCCTCTTTAAATAAACACTTACATACATAAAATGGGTTGTCTGCTTAAAAAGAGACGGATTTTGTTTGAAATACTTCAGGAATTGTTCTCCACATCCTTTTAAGCCAGGTCCAAATGTGGGCTGCCCTTGAACAATTTTCAATACTCCCTTCCTCTAAGTTAAACTGCAAAATCTGGAGGAAAATATAACTCCTGGGTGCAGGTGAAAAGACTGTACATTTCAGATAATCTGGTATTCGTGATACCTTATCAAGCATGGCAACAGAAATATCTTAAACTGGACTGCTGCTGTCAACTTGATAATGAGAATGTGATTTGAAATAAAAATACCTTGGCTGCCAACTCATTACAACAGCTAGTAAAAATATTCAGGACTCCCTAGAAATTGAGGGACTCTCTGCTCCAGTTTGGGTATCAGGACGGGTTTTATAAAAGCAGGTTATTTGGTTACGCTTGGATTTCAGAAAGCACAAAGAACAAGGCAGGAAGTGAATTCTGCATGTGTGTGTGAGCAGAGAGCAAACAGGTGATGGGAAGGAAATGAGGAGCTACCTCCGTGCCATCAGAATCGCCCAAAAACAAAGCATCCCAGAATTTCAGAGCAAACACTCTGTAGCTGGAGAGTGCAGGGCTGCTAACAGCCACCATGTAAACAACAAAAGACTTGAGAACATGAGCCTCTGCTGGGTGCTGGCCTGACCTTTTGTCTGACCCATTTGTGCATGCAGGCCTCTGCAAGTCTTAGGTTAGGCTGAAAGCTACGTACTCTCCATTTAAGTAGTGCAAGCAATTCTGATCTTTCTGCCAATGAAAGGGAGCATGGGGCACGTCATCAGGGAAATTTTCTTGTAGGTGTCCCTTTCTATCTGCCCTGTGTACGACCATCTGCGGGACTTACTTGTTGCTGTCCCGATACTGATAGATATAACAGCCTTGAGGCATCCCGCTTTCCTTGTCCAATGTAAACGAGAGCTTGAGCTGCAAAAAAAGGGGAAAAAAAGAAAAGCACATTTAGGCCGAGTTCTCACTCACTACGGCAACTGCATGAAAGGCTTGTGGGAGAAAGCAAGCTCACCAAGACTGACACGCAAACACTGTGGCCTGGAATATACCGTGGGGTTCCAAACCTCAGCGAAAAGTCACATGCATTGCAGAAAAGCTCTCTCTTTTTCCACCCTTTGTTACTATAAAGTGTTTGTGGTTCTTCTGAAATGTATGGGTCATAACGGTTCACCCCTCCAAACCCACCCACACACACATCCCTTCACCAAAGCTATTGCGGTTCTCCTCAGACACTAAAGAAATGAGTGTTCTCCATCAGCAGCTGGATTTCCCACGAGCCTCCCGGCTTCATCTCATTCCTCCAGCGCATGAGAACAGAGGAGAAACCACAGAGGGAAAGGTGACAGATTTTTCCTTCTGGGCAGAGTTATTAAAGAGCTGTTAGGAGGGTTTGTAGTTTGGACCAGTGTCCAGCAGGAGGCTAGGATGTGACCTGGAAAGCAGTTTCTATTGGGATGGGATTCGGTAAGAGTACTCAGATTTCATCTGTAACCTAGTCCAGTTTTATTTAAAGGGGAAAAACTAATCCCCTTTCGATAGCAGTAAGAGCAAATGCAGCTCTGCAGGGAGAACTGTGTAATGAGAATTTCTGCAATGGGTTTATATCCTACGCTCCCAAAAAACACAATGGGGCTGACCTTTCAAAGAGGGAGGTGAGGCTTTGGCAAGCCTTGGGTCCCTCTGGGTCCAAGTGGAGGCAGCTCTGAGCAAGAGGAACCATCCCTTGCTATACCCAAGAGGTGGGTTGCAGCATGTAGCTCTATTTACACCAGTTAGGTGCAGAGGGTGATGGGGAGAGGGCTGGGCTGCTCTTTGCACTTTCTAGTTGGTTACCACTACGAACTGCAAAGGGCCGCGTCTGCTTTTGCATCCACAGCAATAACACTCTGGCCAACTCCGCAGTGGGGAGGTGTGTACATTGGGGGGGAGAGGGTGTCACATTGGACTCTGGCTAGGTATTGCTGATTGAGGGGGTGTAGGAGTGGGCAAAAAGCCAAAAATAAGAATGGAGAAAAGCCAAGAGATTCAACAGGGCTAGAAGAACCAGCTGAGCACTGTGGGATGCAGACAGTCTCATGCACAGAATTTCTGTGTCTCGCTTTAGTGGACTTTAACATGCGACACATGATGACTAACGCTGTAGGAGTGGCTTGCCTTCTCCATTTAAACCATTCTGAAAAGACAAATCCACAACGTGAGGCAGGAGCCCAAAGCCTTTTAGGGGGCGATCATACTGGATCGTCCTATTGACTTCCAGTGGGACTGGCGTGCTTCGAAGTCATGTAGGTGCATCTGAAAATCCCATTACTTCTTTAGATCTTCTTACCACAACCCTCCAGCAAATCCACAGGTGCTTACTAATGCTCGCCTCTCAAAACCAGCTGCATGGAATTTGTCTGTTTGTGCAGGCTCATGCAGACAGAGTAAAACTCTCAGAGTAAAATAGCCAACAACGGGGGAGAACACTGATTTTACAGCAGAGTTGGACTTGTTATACCTCTACTTACAAACATAGTTCAGCAAGCATGCCTAAAAGTCTCCTGAAACCCAAACAGAGTAGCAGTATACCCATTTCTAAGACTGGTAAACTGAAGCACTGTAAACCAAGTTGAGTGACTTCCCCATGAAACAAAAAGGTAGTGACGCAGCTAGAAATAAAACTCCCACTTCCTAAGATCCCTGACCCGCAGACAACTCCAGCCTTACTATTTTATCCTATATAACCATCTTCTCCATTCACTCCTGCCTCAAACCCATTAACTAAAGAATAAAAATTCTATTGATTAATTGACTGAAGGAAGTCAAAAGGGAGTCTGGGGGGGATTTACGAGTAGAGTAAATGTCCCTGATCAGATTATCTGCATTATCATTCCTCCCATTTGATTTGCTCTACAACTAGCCACCCAATATACAGAACCCAAACATGTACCGCAAAGCCTCCTCCCCCCAGCACAGTCCCCACTTTTGCTCCAACAACCACGGGGCTGAGTCCGCTCCCCCATTCTACTCCCTGTCAGAATCCAGAGACTTGTCGTGCAAGCGATGAGCCCATGGGAACGTGACCCACAGAAAGGCCACCCATCTCCAAGTAAAAGCATGCTGGCTCTGTGCCGGGGGGAACGTTTCCTACACATTCAGCGTGACCCCGTCAGAGCAGCGATCTCTGGAGCGCGCATTTGCACGGCCTCGGTTTTATGATGTGCCTTCAGGCTCAACGGGGGGAGGAGGACGGCATTAGCAAATGTCGCGCCCCTCCATGTTCTTGTGCGATTCGGCTTGCACTGCCCGCTTCAGCTAGCGCACCCTTGGAATCCACAGCCCACTAAAGAGAGGTGTCCCGTTCCATCGCTCCCCCCGCAAAGAGAGCCTCTTCGTGCCATGCAGGCCATGACCGTGAGAAAGGGCGCTGGAATGTGGTGCCACTGAGAACGGAGCCTCACCTACCAAACAAGCCTCATCCATAATGAGAGGTGCGTGAGTAGGCTCTGTCAGGAGGAGCAGCAGGGTTCCTGGGTGCATATAGCGCTGAAGAGCTTCTCTCGCCATTAGCAGAGAGAGTTGTGAGGCCCCAGAGAGAAGCCAAGCGGCAGTTCATAGAAGCCAGGGATGGACGAGCTGTGTCTGATCACCGTCGCGCTCGACGGAGGGCTCATCACACACGCTA